CAGACTTGTGCGGCTTTGCGCTGGTATTTGTTGAACCTGTTTTGGAGTAAATCCCCCAAACCGAAGAAGGGGATTGCCTTTGTCACAAATAGGAGGCTCTTGGCAATTGCTCATTTGGGGAATGATGGAACGCTCCATCGTTGGTCCAAGAACAGTTTTGATTAGATTGATGTTCGTGGATCCTGAGTGAATTGATGAAGTCATGACATGTCTTACAGACATGGCATCCTAGACCCACGAACATCTCCATTGAACCTTCAAGCATGCTGTCCAGATGCTCAAGACTCCTGGCTGCTTCTTTCTTTCTCAGATCATGAGTTTTCGTGGAACACCACCTCTCCAACCAAACTCTCGTTGGCACCTTCTTCCGTCCAGACGGTGTGGGACGGACGAGATCCGTCGAAATCGGAGCTTGGAGGTTTGGATCCGATCCAATTGGATCCATGCCCTTGAAGGCGGAAGAACACATACCAAACAACCCCCACATCCCAAAATCAACCTTTAAAAAGGAACACATATGAAAAAAGACACACCCACCTACCCACACTCTGCGGTTATCTGCGGTTCTTCTTCGAAGTAGCTTTACAATGCATGAGAAAGGCTGGTTTCTCTCCCTGCCGTCGAAAAAACACCGGGTGTTTCAGGCGACATTGTGGGAGGTCCTTTCGGCTGGCCCATGGGGATCTTCAAGGCACCACGGCCGCGCCCGAAGGCGACGCGAGGTCGGGAGCGGATGAGGTCGAGCGGGTAGAGATGAGAGTTGGGTGCGTTTCTATGGAAAACCTGGAGATGGTGGGCAGACTGCATGGGCAGGGAGAAGTCAGTCGACGAGATTTGAGTTGGACTGGAAAATTCCAAGTAGAACTCAAAGACAAGCAATTACTGCGCAATGCGGGGAAGAAGGAATCTGTCATCTTGTTTGCTCCTCTTGGTGAACAGAGGTGAACATACACCAGGGAGATAGGAAGATGGGACCATTTCGATTTCACATCTCGTATTACCTGTCTGTGTGTTGCTTGAAATACATGTTGTTCTTCTTAAACTCACTTGTCAGGAGCAAAGACACTTACTTGTCTTCTCTGCTTTCCACCATTTCACTTTTTTTTTCAGGCCCAACATTGGTGCTTTGCCTCGCGGGAATGCCAATGAAGTGCCATTCAGCATACTATATCCTTTGACTGTGCATGTGCACAGAACCCTCAGGGTCTAATAAGTCTAGCAAAAGCCTCAAGTAGTTGTCATGTCCAAATCGCACCGCTCCGGGGTCCGGTCCTGGCGAAGGGATCACCCGACGACTCACCGGACCATCAGGAGAATGTGACGGAGCCAGTGCAGAAGGGGCGGGTGGAGGAGAGCAAGGCGGGGGTGCCTGAGTTGATTTCGGGAAGGTGAGTTGGTGGATCTGTTTTGCCTTCATGTGGACCACTACAAAAAGGGTTGACCCGGTTTGGTCGTGCCAAACCCTCCGTCAAACCCACGGTATAAATCAATTGGATTTTTTTGGGTGGACTGATCAGTTAAATCAGAGACATTTGGATTGTAAAATACCCCTTCCATTTTGGGGCTCTTAGACTCATCATTCGAATGCACCAGGACCATGTGGGAATTTCTCCAGGCTCAAAGCCCAACCAATCCAAATGAATTTGCAGGACCTCCCCAAGATAAGACAGTCCCGGACCGGGACCGGGGCACCTTGCTGGAGTTGTGGTAGAAGATTCTGGGCGTGAGGAACGCTCGCGCCGGCGCGTCGTCGATGTTGGATCCTTCTTTTTTCCGAGGCGTCTTCCTACCGAAGTCGATGCGTCAATTGTTGGCTGGATTGAGGAGTTTCTTTGCTAAAGACGAAGAGGTGGAAGGTTCGGTTAAGCTTTCAGGGAAGCTAATGCAGCCATTTTTTGAGTGGGGTCATCTCCCAATTTCACTACACACCGACTGCAGTTGGCAGTTGATTCGGGGCGATCGCAGGGGAGAGATGTTTTTGTTAATTTTTATGCTGGATCCATCGAGTCCCTTTCAGCGGTTGGTGTTGAGAGACAAGCCTAGCTGCGCGAGTGTAGTTGGTAGATGCTGCGATGTGGATGTGGGGCTATCTCGCTTGAAGCAACACGGAGATCCCCTGTCTCATTTGTCTCCAAAAGACTTAGGAGATAGTTGGAACGCTATGGCCGCTAGGGTCTCATTCCATCCAAACTGTATAAATTGTCGATGTCGATCACTTCATCTCTTGAAATGATGAAACCGTAATGAAACCCTCTCCATATCTATATTATATCTTAATAGTAGAGAGAGAGAGAGTTTCCCCCTTTTTCAAGTGCAACTAGATGTCATGTGCCAGCGATCACCAGGCTTTCCCCATAGGACCAAACACCTGGTCGGTCGCTTTCCCTCCGATTTCGCCCAGCTCTCGGAGTCCGAACGGGTCGGCGTCGTCGAGGAGGACGACGTCGGTCCGGCAGGACTGGGGCGACACAGCCAGTCCGGCCGGGCCGGGCCGATGCTTTCAGCCCAGCTTTCACATGCCTTCACAGTTCTCTGACGGTCCGGACCGTGCATACAACATCATTATAACTGGTGTCCTCAAGAAACACTAAAGAAGGAAGGTGGGGGACCTCCATCAGTTCGGTGACGGGAAAAAGCACTCCCCGAAAGGAACATCTAGTCTAGTGGCTCGCTTTTCTATGAAAAAAATCAACACCTTTTTGGGATCTATTTGCACCTCTTTCACATTCAGGGTGGGGTTTCAAACTCATGGCCCTCCCATCCATCACCTCCCCCACTCTCCGTCCACACCCCTCTGCTGAGTCCAGGCCGGTGGTCACCGGATGCTGCGGGGCACGGTGCACATTTGATCCGGACCCACGGCACATTGGTGACTCATGAAGTGTAAAGGACCGCTCCACGCGTGAGACGTGGGGCGTCTGAAACAGATGGGGAGACGTGGAGACAGACGTGGAGACAGACTTGTTTGCGGGGCCATGGACGTGGATTTGCTTTTGGGGGGTGTTCAAGGGCTCCTGAGATATTTGTCAGGGTTTGGGAGATGTTGGGATGCTTTTGGATGGTTGGTGGCCCCCCCAAAGGAGATAGTATATAAGAGAGCGACGTCAATGTTGCTGGCAAGGGTATGTAGGGGTCATTGTGGTCTTCCATGTCTTTGTTCCACAGTAGATGGGGTAGGACATAGTGGGACGGAATGCAAGTTTTCTTCAGTCAGAGTTGCTTGTTGGGATTTATTTCTCTCATCACTTCCACGAACTGAACGATGGACTCGCGCCTCTAGGAGCTGCCGATGTGGACGCGGCCGCTTCCGCCACGACCGGCGAAGCGGCAGTCAGGGCGGTGGAGACTGGGTGGAGACCAAGGCCCTATCGCAGAGTCATTGCATGTCACAAGGACATTACTAGTAGCAAGAAGCTACTAGTAGCTCCTGGCATTACTACTACGAACAAGAAACTACTAGTAACAAGGGCATTGCTACTAGTAACAAGGGCATTACTATTAGTAGCAAGAAGCTACTAGTAGCTATTTGCAACGCCTATTAGAGTAGTGACGTCTGAGGTGACTTGATTCATGACCTTTGTGTTCTAATTTTTACTCCTGAGGCTTTGAGCTAGAATCAGTTGTATCAGCTGCAGAAGATGTCCTTAGTTTCTGGATGTTTCTGGAGGAAAAGCATGGAGAAATGTATGAACCGAACCTAAGTTCTGGTACTTGAGGCTTGGATTTGATTGAGTTTGTTTGTGATTAATACAATCTCATCAGATTTTGCTTGTCACGTTTTTTGCTTTCTCAAAGTGCAGGTGATTATGGTTTCTGCTCTCAAAGACATGCAGTATAGTCCGAACACCACTTTGCCAATGTACACGGGACATTAGAGTTTGTGTGATTGTCACCGTTCAAGATGCACCTAACAGATCCTAACAGAATATGATACAACGGGATCCAGGGACTTTTGACAACTCCAGTGAGACTATAGTAGAGCCTTGGAGTCTCCACATTCTCTTCGGTGATTAGTCTGTACAGATGGCCTGCCTAAAGCATTTCTTGTAGACACTCCTTTCCTGTAAAGCACCTCGTCTGTACAGTTCTGGTTCAAGGCACCTGGTGACCGGCGTTTGCACATCTGGTGAGAAATCACTCACCAGGTGTCGCTTTTGGGCTGAATCATTTGGTGCACTTCGAGCCTTGCACAGCATGCATAAGGCATGAAAGCCAGTGGAAAGGAGTGAATTCAAAGTCTCGTTTGAGGACGAACGGTATAGAACCCAGAGGAAACGAGGCGCCACAACGAGCTTCACCGTGGGAAGGAGGGGTTGAACACTCCTTCAACGGTTCAATCAGTCTTTCTGCTGTCCATGTTGGGCTTTTTGGGGGGAGTCAGCAGCATGTGGGAGCTTTGCTGTTTGATCTTGAAATACCCGCAGTTCCATGGAGTTGGGAGCCTCGGTTTTGGAGGGATTATCCACCCACCCTGCGGTAAAACAACATCCAACCGACTCGTTGGAACACCTTGTTGTTGAAACTTCTTGTTCCCTACACCTCCTGTCCCATCTCCGGTGGGCACAGACTCCCTTGGCACCCACCCCAACCATCTTCTCAACAAAGGTAGGCCAGGAGCCAGAACGGGGTTTAAACTTGTTTAACTCCCCCGCAAGCCCGAACTCCGGCTTCGGCACGCCGGTCGCCTGGGGGATCACCGGCGCCCATCCCGAATCGGTGGATCACCGGGTGGTGGAGGCATGAACGCTGAACACTGGCTGTCAGACCACCGAATGATTCGAGGAATACAAAGGATTTCTGAAACCTGCAGGTATCATCTATAGCCCATCCGGGCCTATAGAGCCAATTTTTCCTATTGTGGTGTTTGAGTTTAGGTCTCTTAAGCCATGCTAAAAGAGTCTGACACCTCTCTGACCTTGCTTCGGGATCCTCCTACATTTGAACCGGCAAACCTTCCTGGAACAACGGCCGGAAAACAAGCCACAACTGTGTCGGCCCAGGCCACTGCCAATTCGACCATCTGTGGAGGCGGTCTTTTGTGTTTGTTCCTCTGGTGCTAGACTCGCTGATGACCCGAGGGTGTTCGCAGAATCAGAATCTAGACTGGTTGGACTGGGGTCACTGAGACTGGAAGGCTCTGCTAAGCCTAGTAGCGATGGCCTCCTCCACCCTAGTAGCAATGGCCTCCACCCTAGTAGCGATGGCCTCCAACCTAGATAAAATGCTTCGAATTCGTCGATGTCTTTCTGATTCTTTTGGGACAACGTTCCGTGGGAGGGGTCTTCCCGAAGTCCTCTCATGCCCCATCGCTTTGCAACCTGTAAAATCCGCGATCTTGGGATATCTAGCCCAAACGCTCTGCAAATATGGCCTGCATTTGGTGGTTTTGGGTGGTGAATGTAGGTCATAAATATTTATTGCTTACATGGAGCATTTGGGTAGGGTATGCCCCTATAATATTCGTTCAATAATCATGAATAAGCATCAGTCACTATTTGGGAGATGTCGACCTGCTGAAGCATCCACTGAAACCTGGTGGATATGACCCAATCCATTTGCTCCCAACAAACTCCTCCTTCACTCGGAAGGTGTCACCACACGCGCAGTCCAACCACACCGCCGCCAGCATCCCGGGACGCGGTGTGAAACCCCAGCACCCGCCGCGACGCGAGAGCTGAGCCAGGCGCCCGTGACCAAAGAGTCAGGCGCCCGTGACCACGGTCTCGGGTGGGTTCGCGTGGGAGAGTTCGGCGAGTTCGATCCGTGAAAGCATTGCGAAGGGTTCTTCCGGAAAATCCCTTGAACACTGACACTTCGACACTTACACTTCCACACTGACACTTCCACCACACTTGCACGACAACATGAACGCTATACGTACCCCAGTGTAAGTGGAAGAGCGAAAGCAGCCAAGTGCAAAGTATGCATGTGTAAGTATGCAAGTGTAATGCATGTGTAAGTATGCAAGTGTAAGTATGCAAGTGTAATGATGCAAGTGCAATGATGAGTACGCAAGCATGCAATGAGTATGCAAGCATGCAATGAGTAGGCAAGTGTGAGTATGGAAAACAACTAGCACGAGAGATGTCCTAATGAAAAAACATTTCCCCACTTTTTAAATTCTCTCTTAAAGGACGAACAGCGTCAACCGAAAGTGCAACCCTCTGCGGAGATCGTGCGTGTCGAGTGCGCGAAATGCAGGCGAGAGTGCGATTTGCCGGGTGCCCGCGCAACCCTCTGCGGAGATCGTGCGTGTCGAGTGCGCGAAATGCAGGCGAGAGTGCGATTTGTCCGGTCCGCGCGCGACCCTCTGCGGAGATCGTGCGTGTCGAGTGCGCGAAATGCAGGCGAGAGTGCGATTTGTCCGGTCCGCGCGCGACCCTCTGCGGAGATCGTGCGTGTCGAGTGCGCGAAATGCAGGCGAGAGTGCGATTTGTCCGGTCCGCGCGCGACCCTCTGCGGAGATCGTGCGTGTCGAGTGCACCAAATGCAGGCGAGAGTGCGATTTGCCCGGTCCGCGCGCAACCCTCTGCGGAGATCGTGCGTGTCGAGTGCACGAAATGCAGGCGAGAGTGCGATGCGCCGGGTCCGCGCGCAACCCTCTGCGGAGATCGTGCGTGTCAAGTGCGCGAAATGCAGGCGAGAGTGCGACGCGCCGGGTCCGCGGTCCGCGCGCAACCCTTTGCGGAGATCGTGCGTGTCGAGTGCGCGAAATGCAGGGGAGAGTGCGATTTGCCGGCTGCGCGCGCAACCTTTTGCGGAGATCGCGCGGGTCGAGTGCGCGAAATGCAGGCGAGAAGTGTACTTTGTAGTATCACTTTAGTGCTGGAAGCTGAGAACTGGCGACTTTGTAGTACAACTTTAGTACGCGGAGTATCTGGCGAGCTGGAAGATGAGAACTGGTGACTTGTAGTACAGCTTTAGTATGCGGAGTAGCTGGGGAGCTGGAAGCTGAGAACTGGCGACTTTCTAGTACAACTTTAGTACGCGGAGCAATCTGTGGAGCTGGAAGCTGAGAACTGGCGACTTTGTAGTA